AAAAAAAAAAAAAAGGCTAAGACGATGCCTCTCAAATAGTTGCTGAAGAAATTAATAAATGACTGAAGAACTTCTGAGTTATTCAACATTTGAGTGTTCTCCTTTAAACATACAACAGTTGTGTTTATGAACATTACCAATTACTGTCATTTCTGCCCTGTTGGGAGACCATCTAACTCTATGTTAGAAGAGTGTGATGAGGGGAAGAAAATAGGTGTAAACAGACTGATACACTATTGATGAAAACTACACAGTGATGGCTAAACATCAATTTTCATTCTTCCATCTGTCTTGGCTTCAGAGGGGTTCCTAAGCTGACTATGTCTCTTGCTTTCCCTTCTCATAGTCATCGTCCAATTTCAGACCGTTACACCTCCTGGCTCCACGTTCACACAGGTATCCATCCAAGCACCTGTGCATCCATCCATCCATCCATCCAACTAGCGAGATGGCTGACACTGAGGATATAGAAATGAGTAAGGCTAAATTCTCCTCAAGAAGAAGTCTAGGGGCACCTGGGTGGCTCAGTTGGTTAAGCATCTGACTCTTGATTTTGGCTCAGGTCATGATCCCATGATTCATGGGTTCGAGCCCTGCGTTGGTCTCTGTGCTGACAGTGCAGAGCCTGCTTGGGATTCTCTCTCCCTCTTCCCCTCCCCTGCTCGTGTGCTCTTTCTCTCTCTCTCTCTCAAAATAAATAAACTTAAAAAAAAATCCACTGCTGGGGTGCCTGGTGGCTCTGTGGGTTAAGTGTCCAACTCTTGATTTCGACTCACATGATCTCGTGGTTCACGAGTTCAAGCCCCACGTTGGGCTCTGTGTTGACAGTGCAGAGCCTGCTTGGGATTCTTTCTTTCCTTCTTACTCTGCCACTCCCCCACTTGCTTTCTATCTCTCTGTCTCTCAAAATAAATAAACCCTAAAAAAAAAAAAAAGAACAAGAAAAAGTCTAATAATTTGCCTGGGCCATAGGAAGGGCTCAATAAATGTTTGTTTCTGTCCCTACTTCCTGTTCAGACAGGGACAGTGACTGCTATAACACCTGCAAGCTGTCACCTTTTCTAAGCAAACTCCTTGCACCTTTTTCATTGTAAAAATAACACTGCAACTGTCTCATGACCAGCCAACTTGATTTGACAAAGGAAAATCTGCTCCTTTTTTTATGGACTCTTCCTTCCTTGGCTGAAAGCTGAACTTACTTGGAAGAGCATAATTTACTAAAAATGAAGTTCTAATATTAGAAATAAATTTGGGGGGTGCCTGGGTGGTTCAGTCGGTTAAGCCTCTGACTTCGGCCCAGGTCATGATCTCATGGTTCGTGGTTCGAGCCCCACGTCGGGCTCTGTGCTGACAGCTCTCACCTGTAGCCTGCTTCAGATTCTGTGTCTCCCTCTCTCTCTGCCCCCCAGCCCCTGCTTGCATGCTCTCTTGAAAATAAGTAAACATTAAAAAAAATTAAGAAAAATAATATTCTTTAAAAAAAAAAAGAAACAAATTTAGACACCTGCATCAAGTTCAGGATCATGGGAAGCAGTCATGGAAAAAACAGAGCTTTAACAATGGATCAGAGAGCCTTGCTCTTCATGTTGAAAGGGAAGGGGGACTGAGAGCGGCCAGGAGCCAGGATATACTCTCCAGGTCTTCTGTTGAGTTCGCAGCCACAGGCTGTCTCTCATGATCCACATGTGCACCTAGGAAATCCTCATGTGGAGCAAAAGTCCTAGTAACGATTAAGACCAGTTGTGAACATAGGAAGTGGCCACAAGTACCCAAAATACCTCAACAGGTTCTCTTACAGTATCAAAGCAATCACTCCTAAAAGCCAGAGTATAAAGAGTCAAGCACACATTTGTAATAATAAGCATAGAATCTTAGTTGGAAACTTGTAGTTCCTTTATAAAGATAAAGTTGGTCAAATATCTACAGGTTCCATTATCATGGCATCCTCAAGGAAAAGTTATACAATTTAACATGAAAATTAGGCTATGCCTAAAGTAATTTTTAAACTTCTCAAAAATCTAGTAAAATTAAATTCCCTATATTGTACTACTAAAAAAGGGAACGCATATTTATTAAACAAAACAAAAACAGACTACCATTTTCAAGGTGAACACTGAATATTTTCTTTAACAATAAAACTTATTATATGTGTAAGAACATTTCAGTGAAATATAAAACAAATATTTTTCTCCCCTTATTTTCAGCAGTTTTTTTCTAATTCGTCTTTTCTAATATCAGTAGGGAGGAAGAGATGAATAACAAAGAAAGTCTGTAGCTGAAGATCCAGAAAGAAAAATCTACCTATTAGCTATCATTTCACTCAAGGGATTACAAAATGCAAAAACAAACACATCAATTTATTCATTAGGAGTCAAGTGAGGAGATAAACACCCCTGTTGAACCGAGAGATCTTAGTTTGGATGGTGCATAATGGAGGAAGCTCTTTAAGATGTCAAATCTAGAAAGATACCACCTAGAAATGAGTGACAGTTATTCACAGTGATACTAAAAATAGGAATTGGGTTGTAACATCTATACTCAGTGAGGCTGGAGTATCAAAGCACCTCCCTAATCTTACCAATTTATCCAGTGTACCTGGACCTTCTTTGTAGCGGGTCATAAATTGTGGAATATTTTTTGAGGAGGAGAAAAAAAAAAAAAAGAAGTCTAGGTCACCAGGCCATCTGTTCTTGTAGTGCTCTGGCTGGGGGAGATCCAAGTATATCTGAGGTTAAGTGAAAGCGAGTGGCTAGCACTTTTGCTATCTATCTGCAGAAGCTTTTAGCACATTTATCAGAAGCCATACAGTGCAAACTCTTTTGATATTAGGTCTCTGGGTGTAGCTTTCAAGATCATTCTTTGTTCCATTCTTCCTTTATTGTCAAACTGTACCCAACAGGTGGTCTAGAGTGTGAATTTCAAACATGTGCTATTAATATGCCCAAAACTGTTGCTGCAAAGGGGAAAGAAAACCACATTAATTGAATCTTGGCCTGTTTTTACTCATAATGTCACAAATATATTTTCTATGTCCTAAAGCAATATGAAATGATTCATAAAACCATGTGAAATCTTTAGGTGAATAAACCCATTAAAATATGTATTATTTATTGTTATTAAAAGTAATTATTAGCTTACAGCAATTCTCCACCAAAAACTACACACAAAGTAAAGGTCAACATTAAAAAAATAATAATGTTACAATCTCTTTTTCATTTACCCCGTTTCCTGTCGGTAGACTGATGATCATTAGCAAAAGTATTATATATGTAAATAATTCATATTTCAAAATTTCTTTGTAAGTATCTTTAAAATATTTTTCTCATAAATGTTTTTTGGGTAGGTCACTATTTCCCATTTTATAGATGCCATATGGAAATAATAATAGCACCTACCTCAAAGTATTGTTTCAGAGATTCATTAGATCATCCACATTAAGTACACAGAGTATGTGGCAGATTACTTATTGAGTGCTCAAAACATGTTAGCTATTATTAATATGCAAAAGTATTAGCAACTATATTAAGGTTATCAGGAGTCCATTGAAAGCAGGCCAGGCTGGTTTGGGTCTTCATCTAAAACGGGACAGTTCTTCCAAAAAATAAAGATACCATTGTTTATATAACTAACTAGAATTTAAATGAAAACTTGAAACATTAAAAAAAAAAGATACCACTGTTTATATCCATCTGCCTAGAATGCTTTTCCCCTCCTCACTCCCAACTCCTGACCTCTCTACTGGGCTAATTCTTATCCTTCAGATCTCAGCTTAGATAGTACTTCTTCCAGGGGTGAGCAGTCACTAACCTCTCCCAAATCTAGATTATACTATATATACTAGGGTCCTCCTCCTACATGCCCCAACGTGGATCACAATTGCCTGCTTCTTTGCTTCCCTATGACACTCAGGCAGGGATCATGTCTATCTATACACTACATTCTTGGTGCTTAGCACAATGCTAGAACAGAGTGGATGCTCAATAAATATCTGTGATATGAGGACATCTGGGATCTCAAATCAGCCTGGTTTATGTTGGCTGAACAGGTTTTCCTTTAGCCTGATTGACTACTACCAGCCAATGAGATAAAGCAGCAGACAGTTGGCGGGGGGTGATGGGGGTGGTTGAGGATGAGGCTGGTGAAATGGGATGTGGCATCATAGAAGCAGAGGGGCTGAAGGGAGGGGCTCTAGAGGAAACAGGTCCCATCTGGCCACTTAAGGTCACACCAGCAGCATCACATTCAGATTCACTAATTCTGGATATCTAGATATCAGTCCTGCAGCATGGGGAACGAGAGCCTGGGTTAAGTGTACCTGGCCCCAGTCTAAGAGACTTCTGACCAAAGTATTCATAACAAAATGCAAGCCAGGGGCCCTGAGAGCTGGAATTAAAGAATCCAATCTGATCCAAGACCCCAGAAGACTTACCAGACAGTTGGGATGTGTTGAGCACGTCTGGCCCAGCACAGAATTGTAGTGCTGAGGAAGAAACTTTGAGACTTTGGGCACAGCTGACGGAAAATGAACTGAAATGTTCTGATTTGTTACAGCAGCTGCATCATAGGAAGGGACAACTTTAGAATAGTATCTGACAGCATGGAAGGAATTAAGAGAGAGAGCTTTGCTGGGAATTCGAGTTTTATACATATCACCAATTGCATTCTCTGAAGTGGAGCTGGACTGACCTTTAATAAAAAAGAAAACAAATATCCATCAGTATTCACAACTCTGTAACTTGGAACCACTGTATTTGAAATAAAAGTCCTCTATGTCGTTCCCTCCTGTTACAAATTTATACTACTCTTATACTCAAATGCTGATGGAAAAACACAGCGGACTTTTTAGTATGAAGGTGCAATACACATACTGTAAATTAGTGTTTGTGTGTCATCAGAGGAGCATCAGATCTCTGTGACTGTGTGTGTGTGTGTGTGTGTGTGTGTGTGTGTGTCTTTCATAGTAATCAAAATTGTGACCATTCTTATGAACCTGAAGAAGCATGAAAGAATGTTGAAAAGTTGAACTCTATTCAAGCACAAATAAAGTGTGGTTGATTTTATATCAATGAAATGGGTTGTATAATCATATATCTATGGTCTGTACAGTAACTAGAAGGCAGAAAAAAATTTTAAAATATATCATGAGGGGTGCCTAGGGCCTAGGTAGCTTAGTCAATTGAGTGTCTGACTCTTGATTTCACTCAAGTCATGATCCCAGGAATGTGGAATCGAGCCCCACGTCGGGCTCCACACTGAAAGCACACAGAGGCTGTTTGAGATTCTCTCTCTCCCTCTCCCTCCTCACACATGCATGCACTCTCCCTCTCCCTCAAAAACAAAAACAAACTATACATATATATATACACACACACACACACATATATATACACACACACACACACACATATATATAATATTAATAACGTAATCTGAAGTAACACTGTGAATACCTATCTTCTTTTGGATATTAGTAGTAAAGAAAATAAAGAAATTTTATGTCTACTTTACATACAAATGTATCTAGAATATTTGTGAAAAATCATTTCAGCAGATATGTACAAAGATTTATGGAAAGGACAGGTAAAGGTTACCTAATAAAATCTAAACACTGAACTCAATCAGTACTTCTGTGTTACAGGTCAGATGGTAGCAGACACCTGGTGACCTTGGGTGGTAATTTCATTTCTACAGCCTTCAATTTACCGACCTATGTGGTGAAAGTGACACTGGAAGACTTAACTGATTTCAACTGTTCCAATCCTCTTTCAAAAATAATTTGGCAACATGCATTATGACCTATATATGTGCTCACATTTTCAAACTCATTCATCACACACTCCCAGGTAGCTACCCCAAGGAAAAGTTCAAAATATAGGAAAATCTATGTATGGGGAAATATTTCCTATCATATTGTACACAGAATCACTCTCCCCACAAAACTACAAACACTAAATGTAGCAGTTGGAGGATGGCTAAGAAAATCTTCTATAAATTATTTGATAAGCCATTAAATGGTGGTATGAGGCACACAATAAAAAATTAAAGTATATTGGACATAATGTTAAGTAAAAGACACAGGCAACAAAACTGGATGTCCAATATGATTACTGCTGTAGAAAAATATACATAGAAAAAGACTTGAAGGAAATACATTAAAAATGAACAGCTATTATCTTAGCTGGGCTAGTTAAGGACTAATATTGCTTTCCAAGTGGAAAAATGTATATAAATAAAATTAAAATGGAGGTTCTGACTCAACGACCTTCAGGTCTTCCCCAGTCTGAACATGGCATACAGTCCACAGTCCTAGTATATTTGTGTCTTCCCAAGAGCAGCTGCTTCATGTGATACAACACCAAGAGATGTTGGGGCACAGAGAGGCTTGAACTCACCACCATGTAAACAGTAGTTCAGAGTTTCTACAGAGTATAAACACTGAGAATGCAGAAGTAAGTACTGTATGTTCAAAAGGTAACATTGACAGGCATATGCCTGTGGCCTGACCTCTATCTGATTTAATCTGGGCTGATTTAATCATTCTGGGTGATATTCAGCTACTTTAAGTAGATTAACTGTGGCTCATGGCTACTTTTTTTTCTATTTTCTTCCCCTCTCCCCTAAGTCAGGGGAAAAGTCTGAATTGACTAATAAAACACCCTGAATCTTGTTTGATTATATGAACAAAGAGGACTGTATGCTATTTTGGGTCTCTTTCTCTTTTGACTTTAGACACCATCCCTAGTAACATCATTTATTCCTGCAGCTTTTACCATGTCCTCATAATATGCACAGTACCTCTACAACAGCATTTAAAGTACTACAGGAATTCTATTTTGCTACTGTGACCCTCCCCCCTACTCATTTGCCAGCTCCATAAGAACAAGAGCTGCACCTTGTTCGTCTTTGGGCCCCCATCTTTCAAGCAGGGACATTTAAGCTGAGAACTAAAGGATGAACTGGGAGTCCCCCAGGTAGAGTATGGAAAGGACATCCCCAGCACAGGGAAGGTACTGAATTAAGTGAGTGGAATCCCTTCAAGGAAGTCAACAGAAGGGTGACCTCAGACTCAGGCACTGAAGAGACAGGTCCGGGTGTCCTGTAATCTAGCATCTAACATGCAGATTAGGAGCTCAGTACCTTACTGACTTCTCAGTGAAGAGTCACTTTCAGGAATAAAAAAGTCACAAACAGTAGCTGTATTTTTTTACTCTGGCTCCGCTTTTTTCCATCTTCTTATTTCTACAAGTACATTGGCATGCCTTGACATTATAACACAAATAACAAAAATGCCTCACAGTGGGTAAATACTTTTTTCACAAAGAATATTCATATAATGAAGGTTTCTTGAGCACCTACTGTATGCTGGTCATTGCACTAGGTACTAGAAATACAGCAGTGAACAAAATAAGCAAAAAAAAAAAAATTTCCGTGTCTTCATGGAGTTGATGATACTCTAGTGGGAGGTAACAGGCAATGAGAACATATGCAAATAAATAATATTAGAAAGTAATAAGTGCTATGAAGAAAAATACAGCAGAGAAAGTGGATAAGTCTCATGCCTTAAAAAAAGAAAGAAAAGAAAAGAGAAGAGGAAAGAAAAGAAAAGAAAAAAGAAAAGAAAAGGAAAGGAAAGGAAAGGAAAGGAAAGGAAAGGAAAGGAAAGGAAAGGAAAGGAAAGGAAAGGAATGAAAAGAAAAGAAAAGTCCATGCATTATGTAATGCTGGGAAGTATACAGTTTTAATAGGTGGTTGAGACTTACTGAGAAGGAGACAATTAAGCAAAGATATGAAGAAGGTAAGTAAGTTAATATTTTAAATCCTCACAACATAGTTATTATGCAATTAATCTGAGTATTTCCCTTTCCTTTAGATTCTATTCATGTAATAAAGTCACTAATGTGCTTATCATCTATCAGTAAGGTAAGCTTTCTACTGGATAGCCACATGCAAAAGAATGAAACTGGAGGCCTAATTTACACCATTCACAAAAATTAGCTCAAAATAGATTAAACACTTAAACATAAAATCTGAAACCATAAAACTCCTAGGAGAAAACAGGGAGTAAGCTCCTTGACATTGGCCTTGGCAATGATTTTTTGCCATGAAAAGATGCTCAATATGACTAATCATCAGGGAAATGTAATTCAGAAGCACAAGGAGAGATTACCTCATACCCATTAGAATGGCTAGTATCAAAAAGACAAGAAATAACAAGTGTTGGCGATGATCTGTACTCGTGCACTGTTGGTGGGAATGTATATTGGTGCAGCCACTAAAAACAGTACAGAAGTTCCTCAAAAAAATTAAAATAGTATTACCATATGGTCCAGCAATCCCATCTCTGGGTATTTATCCAAAGAAAATGAAAATACTAACTCAAAAAGATGGAAGCACCCCTATATTTATTGCAGCATTATTTTTTTTTTTATTTTTTTTATTTATTATTTTTTTTTTTAAATTTTTTTTTTTCATCGTTTATTTATTTTTGGGACAGAGAGACAGAGCATGAACGGGAGGGGCAGAGAGAGATACAGGCATCGAAACAGGTTCAGGTTCTGAGCCATCAGCCCAGAGCCTGATGCGCGGGCTCAACCAATCATGAGATCGCACCTGGCTGAAGTCGGACGCTTACCGACTGCGCCACCCAGGCGCCCCTATTGCAGCATTATTGACAGGAGCCAAGAACAACCTAAGTATCCATTGATGGATAAATAAAAAAAATGTGATAGATAAGAGATATATAGACACACACACACACACACAGGCAAGCACACACGCACACATACACTGGAATATTATTCAACCGTGAAAAAGAATGAAATCCTAAAAAAAAAAAAAAAAATGAAATCTTGCCATTTGTAACAATACAGATCGACCTTGAGGGCATCATGTTTTGTGAAATAAGTCAGAGAATGACAAATACTGTACAATCCCACTTATACACAAACAACAAACATAAAAATTGAGCTCATAGATACAGAGAACAGACAGGTGGTTTCCAGATATGATGGCTGAGGAGTGGATGAAATGAGTGAAGGTAGTCAAAAGGCATAAAATTTTCAGTTATAAAATAAATAAGTCATGGGGATACATGTACAACATGGTGACTATAATTAATACTACTATATTACATATTTGAAAGTTGCTAAACAACCAGATCTTAAAAGTTCACAAGAAAAAATATTGTAATTTTGTTGACAGATGTTAAGCAGACTTATTGTGATGATCATTTCACAATGTGTACAAATAACAAATCATTATAACATTAGAACATATCATCACCTGATATAATGTCTTATGTCAATTATACCTCATTTAAAAAAAAAAAGATGAGCTTTCTGGTAACAATGGTCAATTTGAGCCCAATTTCTGGGACAACACCATATAAATGCTTGTGGCCATCTTGTGTACTTCAAGCAGACAATACCAAAAGGACTCATGGTGTAATCTTCTAGCTACACGCCTTTCCCTGGTTATGGCAATGAATGCATAGAAGCACAGGGGTGCACAGGACACCCACATAACCCAAGCATACAACCGCACAGGGCATCAGGCAGAGCTCACCTCTCACAGCTTCATCCAAGGAGCCCCCTGAGGCAGGAACAGAGTACACATTCACACACTTATTAGCCAGGAATCTGATCCCTCTCACAGGTGAATAGGCACTTGTCAATACACCATTTTCCCTTAAAAGGATAGGAAAAAAAAAAGACACCTTATACAATTCCCAAGGAAGACAACATGAACATTGCTGAGTTCAATTCCTCCCTCTATCATTCAAGTTTTAACTTGACAGAGACAAATTATACATTATTTAGGCATATGAACAAATTGGTGAACAGGACTCATGATGATAGTTTCGGATGTAGAGGAATGATTTGCTTTATAGTTTTTCTTTGTTTATACATACTAATAAATTTAAATACAGAAGCATTCATTTGGCATGTCACATTTTGTACCAGCAAATTTTTTTTAAAACTCCCAACTGAAATAGGGCTGGACTGCTCCAGGGTCCATGATCTCCTACTGGGGAATGGTAGAATGCATCCTGCCTCTGTTGGGTCTGCCAGTCATGACCGTCACTACTGATAAAGCCTTATTTTATGATCTTCAGAATTAACAAAACAAGAAATAAGAGTGAGTCAAATGATGAGAAGGTCGTGGGCTTGAGAATATTACATATTTTATCTCTGTGACTAAATGATACAGATTGGCAATGGGAGAAGTTCATGGATTCTTCATAAATACCTGAGTTTTCATTATGGGTGGGTTCACTGCCTGTCACAATACTTCTAGCGTTAGCACTGGAGGAAAATAACAAGCCAACTGCCAATTTACAAGAGCCCTCATCATACCTTTGTGCCATGATTGGGCCTGGGAGGGATGGCTGGATGGACACTTGTTTCTTACAAAACCTCATATTGTTCTGAAGTACTTCCGTGATCTGAGAGACAGAGAGACATTTATTTAGATATTTTTTCATGTATACAAATACACATACATTTCCAATTATAAAAAACAAAACTGGAGCTTTAAAGCACGGTCTATGAGGATAAAATTCAAGGGCTTAGAATCAAATACCTGGCCCATAATGGCTGGAGGCATTTTCTCCCGGACGTACTTCACATAATCAACTGTTGCCTCAAGAATCGAAGCCGCATCATTCTTTCTCCCCTTTATATATGGCAACAGAGTACGCAGCTGCTCACAGCAATACTTGATTCGTTCTCTGAGCAGAGAGTTGTAATAAATGAGGAATAATTAGTTTCATTTTCTTCCTTGTACAACAAGGACAAACAGTCCTTCCTTCTGGGTCTGTTAACAGAGGAACTGCCTCCCTCCCTATCTAGTCTCTGTTTCACAGAAAGGCCATGTCCCCGTAAGCCAGCAGCCGCCATAGCCCCTGGAACCACAACTTCCTGGGGCGTCTGTTCACGCTGCTGCCCAGTACAATGTTCGTGCTGACCGCAACCCCAGTTCACTTGCCCCGGGCCTGCTGCAGTGTGCAGGATGACCCTGCCTATGGAAACCCCCTCAGAGGAGGGAGTGGAATGCTACACATAAGTCCTTTTGTACTTCACACTAGAAGACTAGCAGACAAAGAACAGTCAGGAGATGTTTCATGTCACTGTGACCTGAACCACATTGTCAACAACGGATCAATTAGCATCTTGTAATTACATGGGCTTTACATGTAACTCTGTGTTCTGAGCCAAAGGAAAATCAGAAGGCTGCTTTCTTCAAATAAAGTAGGTATGAACAGAACAAATAAACCAATATGCAAATGAGACCATCGTTCAGGCTAGTATCAGAAAGAAACTCACCTAAGTCTTTCATGGTTCTGAAGGGAAATGCATAGGAAATATAAATCCAAGCTTTTGATCTAAGCCTTTGGTACTTCTATTTATGCATATATTCATTTAATAAACATTATTAAGCACCTGTTTTATGCTGAATAGCAAGCACCTTGACATATATAGGGTCAAACGCTGGCTCTGACAATTACCAGACCTTTGGCAAATCACCAAACCTTTCTGAACCTCAAATTGATATATAGCCTGTGAATAACTCAAATATTCTAGATCAGCAGCATTTTAATTGGACTTTGATCAGTACTGACAGTTCTCTAGAGGTGTCTCAGGGACTATTCTAGAAAAAAAAGGATAAAAAAAAATCAACAATTTGACCATGTACACAAAGGCTTGAAGCTTTTCAGAACAAACTTTTTGCAAGATGATATGCATTATAGCAGTATATCAGTAAGCTATTAAAAAAAAATCTAAACACAACAATAGGTGGACACTTAAGTAAGCTATAGCTTACTCACTCAGTAGAATATTATCTGGCAGTAGAAATGAAATGCTATAAATCTTATGGGAAAAAATAGGATATTTTAGAAGATACAACTATAAAATATAAAGCAGTATATAAAATATGATCGAAGACATTAAACAAAGTAAAAATAAAGCACAGGAAAAGATTTGAAAGTGAAACCATCAAGTCATAGTTATTTCTGGATGGTTGGGCTATGGAAAATATTATTTCTTCCTTTTATTTTTTACATTTCCCAAATATTTTTGCCGGGTACAAGCTACTTTTACACTAACAAATCCTAGAAGATATTCTTTCCAACATTCGTTAGGAAAATGTTCAAACACAGAGAAAGACTGAAAGAACTTAGAATCTGAATTCTTACAAGTTGAAAAATTAAGAATTTGTACAAAGAACATATATATACTTCACCCACCTAGAATCTACAATGAATGTTTACTGTTTTCACTTTGTCACATATGAATCATCGCACTGGCCATACCTCAATCTATTTTATTATACTGAAGAATTTCAAAATAAGTTGTAAACTTAAGACACTAAACTCTTAAACATATCATTAGCTAGAGTTCAATTATTTTATTTTCAAATAAAAGTTACATAAAATTAAAAAATACACAAACCTTAAGTGTACCATTCTATGAGTTTTGAAAAACGCACAAAACTATGTAACAAAAACCCTAATTATCATGATCACAACCCCAAAAAGTTCCTTATCTCATCCCTCAAAAGGGCCAACAACATTTCTGATATTTTTCCATCCGACATTAGTTTTGCCTGTCTTCGAACTTCATATAAATCAAAATCTACAGCATGCGCCATTTTATGTAAAATTTCTTTCACTCAGCATGTTTTTGAGATTTGTCCATGTGGCTGTTTATTATCAGTAGTTTGTTTCTCTTTATTGAGTAGTAGTATTCCATAGGGTAAGTATGCCATAGCTTATTTATCCATTCTTTTACTGACGAACACTTTGGCTGTTTCCAGTTTTCGATCATTATGAATAAACCTGCTAGAACACTCTGTACATCTTTCTGTGAATGCATGTTTTTATTTCTCTGGGAACACATCTAAGAATAGAATTAATGGGTTAATTTTTTAAATTTATAAGACACTGGGGGCGCCTGGGTGGCGCAGTCGGTTAAGCGTCCGACTTCAGCCAGGTCACGATCTCGCGGTCTGTGAGTTCGAGCCCCGCGTCGGGCTCTGGGCTGATGGCTCAGAGCCTGGAGCCTGTTTCCGATTCTGTGTCTCCCTCTCTCTCTGCCCCTCGCCCGTTCATGCTCTGTCTCTCTCTGTCCCAAAAATAAATAAACGTTGAAAAAAAAATTTTTTAAAAAAAAGAAAAAAAAATAAATTTATAAGACACTGGAAGAACTTTTCCCAAAATAGTACCATTGTACACTCGCACTGTCAATGTATGAGAGTTCCTATTGTTTCAAATCCTTGACAACATTTAATACTGTCAGTAGTTTTAATTTTAGTATGTTGGCCTTTCTGAGCAATTTAGCATATTGTCAGTTTTCATTTTAGCATTTTTGGTACATGGTAGTATCTCATGCTTTACTTGCATTTCCGTGACAAAAATAAATTACGTTGAGCACTTTTTCTGGTGTTTATTGGGCACTTGCATATCTTCCTTTGTGAAGTGTCTGTTCAAATATTTTATTTCCATTTTAATTGGATTGCAGGGCTTTTTGGTACTGTGCTGTAGGAGTTCTTTATCTTCTGTAATACCATATTTTTTTCTAGCATATTTGCTTTGCAAATATTTTCTCCCAGTCTATGGTTTGCCTATTTATTTTCTTAGTGGTGTGTTTTGATAGCTACTTTTAAATTTTGATGAGTCTAATTTATCTACTCTTTTATGGTTATTACTTTCTATGTCCTAAGGAACAACTGCCCAACCTCAGCTTGTGAAGACATTCTCCTATGCTTTCTTCTAGAACAGTAAGAGTTTAATGTCTTAAGTTTACAACTTACTTTGAAATTCTTCAGTATAATAAAATAGATTGATATATGGCCAGTGGGAGGAATCATATGTGACAAAGTGAAAACAGTTCTTCTAGAACTGTACTGTCCAATCCAATAGCCAGTAGACTGGTCTATAATGATTTACATAGCCATTAGTCTATATAAACTAGTTAAAATTAAATAAAATTCAAATTCATTACCTGTTACAATAGACATATTTCAAATACTCAACAACTACATATGACTAGCAGCTCCTTTACTGGACAATGGATGCAGATAGAGAGTATTCCTAACATTGCAGAAAGTTCTACTAAACAGTACTATTCTAAGTTTTAGCTTTATACTATAGTTCTGTCTATGCTCAAACTTGAATTAATTTTTATACAATATAGTAAGAGATCAAGGTTCATTGTTTTTCCATTTGGATATCCAGCTGTTCCAACATCATTTATAAAAAAGACTTTTGTTTCCCAGTAACTTTGCTCTGGTGATTCACTGAAAATCAAATGAACACATATGTGTTGGTCTAGTGCTGGGATATTATGTTCCATTGATCTATTGGTCAACCTTTATGATAGTAACACACTGATTAACATACTGTATACGAAGTCTTGAATCAGATAGTTTAAGTCTTCCAATTTTGTTGTACTTTTTCAAGACTGCTTTATTCTAAGTCCTTTTATGTTATAGGTCTTTTTCATTTTTAAATCTGATTATCAATTTCTTTTTTTAATTTAAAACAATTTTTTTAATTTTTTAAAAAATTTTTAAATTAAAAAAAAAATTTTAATGTTTATTTATTTTTGAGACAGACAGAGACAGAATGCGAGTGGGTTAGGGGCAGAGAAAGAGGGAGACACAGAATCCCAAGAAGGTCCAGGCTCTGAGCTGTCAGCACAGAGCCCGACATGGGGCTTGAACTCACAAGCCATGAGATCATGACCTGAGCCGAAGTCGGGCGCTCAACCGACTGAGCCACCCAGGCGCCCCTAAAACAATTTTTTTAATGTTTATTTCTAAGAGAAA